CCCACTTCACTTGTTACTGACTTCGCGACATAACAAATTTGCGAAAAGTTTTTTTATTACAGTGATTTGTACGTAAAAACCACGGAAATTTTGCCAATAGATTCAACTTTTATACTGGATCATGTTTAAATTTTTGTCTCTAGAATCCAGTAGCCTTCAGACACCAAAAAAATTGTGATACTGTTTCAAAATACCAGTTTAATCAATCAAAAAAAATAGACCAATAGATTGTTATTTTCAGAGCATATGACACTCGATAACGATATATCCGACTTTTTGCAGAACCAAAGTATCACTTGAAAAAGAAACCTTCTTTTGCTCATTAGGGTTAAATAATTTTCATTGCTCCAACGAAAAATTTCTTTTGACCTTGTAACTGTGCGCTTCGCGGTTTTTCTAAATCACCATAGAAGCATGAACTAAAGACTTTTTGATCAGTCGGTCATTGATGCACTAAAAAAACGATCTGGTGGAACTAATTTGTCTGCTTCATTATAGCATAGCTGTTACATTCGGAATGAATAAAATTAGTATTTATAATCATGGCTTCTTATAATTTTTGATTTTGATTAGATTCTCATCAACTTTTTTTTGTATGCGCCCTTGACTTTGCAAGAGTTTTCCACAAAAAAATGTAAGTAAGCTGTTTTGCAGCTGGGCCACAGTTTAATACTAATAATTAAACACTGAATCTTAATTTTTTGAAAGAATAAAAGAAAAATAGCCTCAACAAATTGCCGCTCCTCTGAAAATAAAGGTACCTTAGTATTTATAATCATGGCTTCTTATAATTTTTGATTTTGATTAGATTCTCATCAACTTTTTTTTGTATGCGCCCTTGACTTTGCAAGAGTTTTCCACAAAAAAATGTAAGTAAGCTGTTTTGCAGCTGGGCCACAGTTTAATACTAATAATTAAACACTGAATCTTAATTTTTTGAAAGAATAAAAGAAAAATAGCCTCAACAAATTGCCGCTCCTCTGAAAATAAAGGTACCTTTACTTTTGAGAAAAAACAATCGAAGAAGATCAACGAGTATCACGTAACGGTAAAAATAAATTAACTTTTTTTGAAAATGAGCTTCACTGTGTTCTAAATGAATTAGACTTAGTTGAAGAAAAATCGATTTTGTTAAAATTGAAATGGACTTGTTTAAAACCGATTTCCAATGTGTTCAAAACTAGTCATGTATGAAAAAATAACCCTTAACAAAAAAACAATTTCATGTTAGTAAAAACATAAATCAAAAAACTTACATATACAAAAAATCAATCCTATTTTGTTTTGAACTTATTGGTGTAAAAACAAAAGATAGATACAAGTTGAACTCAAAACACATTGCGTTTTTTTGTTTCATCTTGTCATACTGAAAGTACTAACGCTCATCAGTTGCTGTAATTGTGCTGATTAATTAACTATGCCGTCGAACAAGAAAAACTAAACAAAAAACAGCAGCTCGACAGATTGGAAGGAGAATGGGATATCAAGCAGCATTTGTTGTAAGAAGGACACGGCAACGACGTGGAAGGTATCGAAGCATTACAAGACGATAATCACCAATTAGAATTACAAAATGAACAGATGGAAAACTTATGCGACGACATTTTCACAAAAGCAACAAACCTCAACACGCAGTTGTAAGAGCGGATGGCTGTACAGAAAGGTACAAACTACTGATGGAATAGAAACGGAAGATACGTCTAAGCATTGGCTCACGCATTATATCACGAGGACCATTCGTAACTCCGACTCTAAGTGGTATTAACTAACAAAACGTCACCGATCTGGTAAAAAATTACAATTCAAACACGTCAACACCACGACTCACGACACCAACATTGTCCATCAACTATAGATGAAGGACTCAAAATATTAGAAACTGCAGCGGTCATCACAAACGCTTCTCGAGACGAAAATCAAATACATGAGGATAAATACGATGATAAATTCAACGGTAAAAATCAACAAGTCTGCATGAGAAACAAAATTAAGGAATTCAAAGCTCAGTCACCTCAGGAGTAAAAGGAATTCAGCCTCACTATCATCACTTTTGCATCAGCAGTGTTCGGCAAATCAATTCTGGGCCAAACGTCAATCTCCAGAATTAAATCGAAGGATTGCTTCTGCGACTATCATGACAGGACATGATGACTTGGGTACCAATTGCTTTTAAAACAAACACAACAAGAAACAATAGAGGAAGACTTCGCTTACGGGATTCTCTCAGGGAGACATTAGGTTTGGGTAGATCTGGTAGAGGTATATTTGCTTTTAAACGCAAGCAAAAATATCAAGATCGCCCCATTACACAGACTCATATGAATTTCAGGAGCACGAAACAGCAATTAAGTGCTGGCCCAGGTATCGATTTCGGAGATATGCATGCAAACATGACTCTAGGCGAGGATTTGCCAAGTAAAACCCAGTGTTATAAAAGAATTGGCAATCCTTCGGTAAATTTTCAAGAAAGTTCGGACTTCATTAGACCACAAAAAAGATTAGTTAAATACTGATGGGGAGATAATTGAAATAAAGGTAAATGCAGCTGAAGATTTCGACATGCAATAGCAAATGCGTTAACTAGGTAAAAAGCGTGAGAATTTGGTTTCACGTCGACTAAGGTATTCATATTACAGAAAATGTCAGCAGAGGCTCTCCAGCACTCACTAACAGCAACATCAGCATCCACAACAACATTTCTCTACAGAGCAAATGCGCTCTGAGAAAATGTGCACAGTCAACAGCAAAACCACGGAAAAATATTTTGGCCCGTCTGAATCACAACTGGAATCTGGTAAGGTACAACAGGTAATTATGGTAGGAAACAGACGTTTGGACAATGGTTGTGATGAGAATTTTGAACACAATGGTCTTGGATTTGCAAATGGTATGCAACAACAGCCAATATTTGCATGATACCACCCGGGTTGACCAAAACTTCTAATCATACAATTTCCATTTATGAAAAACTTCTTGTCATACAATTCCATACAATGCCATACGTACAGAACATTGTATGAAATCTCTATGATAAAGATATTTCCATAAATGAATATTGTATGATAGGTGTTTTTCCATAAACCAAAAATTTTGATTTTTTCTTTCAAAATTTAGTTTCTGAAAAGTTTTTGGTTGTGTTCGCAACCGAACACAAGTGACAAAGACCTTGGTCGCCATCAAAAAAATGCCAGTCATACAATTCCCATATATGGGAATTGTATGATAAGCATTTTTTTTCAAAAAAACGAGAACCTCAGTTTTTATCACCAGACTGTTTTATAAGAATCAAACATCCACAGAAATAAGTTTATACCAGTTTTCAACCATTTTTAGAAATTGTATGAAAATTGTATGACAAGCATTTTTCCATACACTTGATGTATGGAATTGTATGATAACGATTTTCGGTGTATGGAGGTCAACCCGGGCACCCAGAAGACACTAGAAAATATTATCAGATACGTATGGTTATTACGGGTATTAAAAGACATCTAGAAGCTACCTGATAAAGTAGAACAATTGGAAACAAAAATAATCAAAGGCAATGAACAGGCAAAAAATATGGAATCGGCAGGAAATGCAACAGGTATGGTAGGTACAAGCATGGTAGGTACAGGTACAGGAGGTATTGGTTGGGGTACAGTTAACCGGATTACAGAGATTCAGAGAATCGGCACATCAAATTGATTCAGCATCAGCCAACATAAATACAACAACGGCAATTTGGACAACCTACAACAGCATCAATGCAGCAACACGATTGTCCACCACGACATTTTAAAATACGTCAAACAGTTAACTTACAAAATATTGATTGTCTGACTTTGGTGGAAACCGACCCTCCGCAATCGCATGAGTGGTACAATTTCTTTGAAGCTACAATTCACAAAAATCCAGCATTGTCAGATGCTCAAAGAATTGCTTACTTACAAAAATCTGTCAGCCGAAAAGGAAAGGACTGCATTGTAGGCAAATCTTAAAAAGCTTCTTTCCACGGAAACAATCAACGAGCTAAATTCACCCTTCAGACGGCCGAAAAAACATGCGACTGCAAGATTGGGCTGGCCACAGTATGGACCAAGAAAAAAGGTTCATTTCGTTTACCAACTTTCTTCGACAACTGGTAAAGACATGCCAACATCATATTTTCTTTTCAGATCTAGGATCTTCAGTGGTCCTACGACTAGCCAGTGATAAATTCTCGCCCGGAAAATTAAAAAATGGAACGAGCACGCATTGAAGAAAGATTTCGACGAACCGACATTCATCAAATTCAAACACTGGATGAAAATTTACGTGGATGCTTGCCAAGATGTTTCAGCAAAAAGACGATAAAACCAGAGAAGCAATCGCGGATTTCTCAAGCCAAAAGTATGACGAGACACTTCTTTGTCAGCCTTGTAAAGGAAATTACCAGCTTGGACAATGTAACCAGTACATAAGCCAAAACGTTTGCATGACTTTTGTAGCGACAACAAATGATACAACAATTCAACCTGTTCCAGAACTGTTTAAAGAATCATAATTCACGCGATTACAGAGCTGATTGAAATGCAGAGAAGTAAGTTGTGGAGGCTTCTACCATTCGACACCACATAGTAATAAAATATTAACAAGCGACAGGCAACATTCTATAACAGCAGCTATTCCAATTCAGGCGAAAACAACAAAGAAAAAAGAGATTAAGAAAAAGAGAAGAGACAACAAATCAACAGACACGACAATTGTAAATCGACCAACAGCAGAAATGATTTTCACTGCTCATATTATAATACAATCACAATCTACGAAGAACATTATTTCATAGCCGCTACATTCGCTACGAAAATCCTTAACATTTTCAATATGGCGATTTTCATGTTCAATTATGTTGTAAAACCAATTGTAGAAACCACAAAATTGAAAATTCAAGAATAGAAAACTCATGAAAAAACCATAGGAAAATTCTATAGTTTGACAATCAATTCCAAAAATTTTTGCTGAGAAAATTTGTGACATACTGGATGGCCTGAGTACCATAGTTGAGTTCTTGCCAGGCACAATGGTGTAGGAGAAATCGTTATACTGAGCAGTCGGCACCACATTGGAGAAGGAGACATACGCTTTGAGGTGTATGTCCACTTTTGCATCCAGTTTCTGTTTCACGTCCAGTTTGAAGGTGACCACACTGCCCACTTTGTAGGGGAAGGAGAAGAACTGCCACTGGTTAATCTACACAATTCAATAATCTAATGCTTAACTGTTCAACTCTTTCTTTAAGGGGGGAGGAGATTCGTTACAAGGTACTATAAGGGGGGGATAGTTAACAAGATCCGCCAGCTGAAACTTTACGTAACATCAATGAAATTTGCATGACTTTCGTAACTGTTAAATTTTATTTAACCCTTAGTTTTTTTCCGCCTGGTCGATTCTTCGACTGATTTATTCTTCGGCTGGTTTATATGCCACCTTTAAATTATCCGCACAAAACGCCAAAAATTCCTCAAAATGAGTTGATTTTAGACAAAAAAAGATGAGGACAAAATTTTAGCTGAATTAATATGGTGCAATTTCATTGTGGGAAATTCGGAACCAAAATTTTACATCAAAAATTACACCGTTTGGCTTCTTTAATTATAATTAAAAATTTAGCTGAAACCACCAAACTATTTGATAAGAATACTATATTAAAAGAAGCCTCTTACACAGCCTTTGAAACAGTTTCAGTTTTCGTTGGTCTTGTCCGGATAATTCATATCAACACTGTATTCCCGCATCCAGTGTCGAGCATTAATAATCGATTATATTACGACTTTAGTACCAGTCTCACTAAAATTGAGAAACAATCGATTTTAATCTATTAATAATCGATTATAGTCTCTCTTTTTAAAATCAAACTAGCGTTTAACGCAACTCCGGTGCTTCAATTTTTTTCGACGACTCATGAAAAACCGCATATATTGATAACAAGATCTGCAAGCTTTTAGTGTACTCTGACTGCACCCAATTACTGTGTTGGCAATTTCAAATTTTTAAATTTTTTAATTTCCCATTTCGAAAAACCATAAAAACGTCATTTCGAAAATCAATGGGCCTCTGGAGAAATTTGGAGGCCAGATCTGCAACCACTGAGAGCACCCTACTATACGGTTGGAAATTTCAAATTTAGTGAATTTTTTAAACCCAGGTTTCCCTAAAAAAATTAAAAAATCATAAAAATCGTCTCATCTCGCATACTAAAAGAATTTGAGCATTCATATTTAGAGGCGAGAATTAGGACGCCTAGGTGTACGCTGACAATAAGGTTGTTTCTTCATCAATTTAGTAATTTTAAATTTTGTGGAACTCTTTGTAGTTAAATTCTGGGAAAATTTTTTAAAAAATAAATAAAACGTCAGATCTTGGAACTTGAAAGCATTTGAGCAGTCGCATGTGACGAGACTTTTAAATCCTGAGAGTACCCTGACAGCACCCGACTACAGTATCCGGAATTTCAAAATTTGACAAAAATTAATTTACGTTTTCTGAAAAATTGAAAAAAAAATCACAAAAAAACGTCACATCTTGAAAGTTCCAAGGATTTGAGCATTCATATTTGAAGGCAAGATTCTCAATTCTTGAGAGTACTCTAACATAACCCAACTACAGGTATGGTATTTTCAGATTTTGGTATTTTTCAGTTTTCTGAATTTTTTTTTGAAAAAACCATAAAAAATGTCATATTCGAAAACTACAAGGATTTAAACAAACATTAATGGAGGCAAGATTCGCAACTCCTCAGAGTACGCTGACAGCAGTCAACTACAGGGTTGGGAATTTCAGATTTTGAAGAAAAAAAACTAATTCATGTTTTCTGAATTTTTTTGAAAAATATTTATAAAACGTCTTATCTCGAAAACTGGGAACTTCAGGTTTTGTAAATTCTTTTGTAATTTGAGTTTTTCACTGGAAAATGGAAAAAAAATCTTGACCATTGCATTATACAATATAGCTTAAAGGTGCAAAAATTCTTTCGTTAAACATGCAAAATTTATACATTGAAAAAACTTAAGCATGGCGAGATAAAGAAACCTGCATTTAAATATAGAATAGATAGATAATAGATAAGAAATCGAATCATAAAACCTGTCGTTTTAAAATACATTTTTCATACTACTTGTCTTTATCAAACATGAAAATTAGGCAAGCATGACAGGCAAGACTTTTGATTTTTAAATTGGCAAGGGGAACAGAACTTACAAAACAAGGCCGACACTCTTTGAGCAGACACTAGTTGTGCAGGAAAAAAGATTTTGAAATTTTTTTATTAATGTTTTAAGTCCCCCCTGAACTGCAATGAACAATATTTTCAACAAACAAAATACCTGCTTAAGGCACAAAAAACGCGATATGACACATAAGCGACAGAACAAACCCCTGACATTAAGGTGCAAAAGCAACTGCGTTACCTCCAGACCCAATGGGAAGAAACCTGGAAGTTGGCAGAATTCAATAAAAAAGCGAGTTCAAAATTCTTGTTAGAAAATTTTTTAAAAGGGCAAAAGTCTAGTTCTTAATTACAAGTCAATAGTTCTCAATTGCTCTAGCTCGCGATTACAAGATACTTGCGCTTGATATCTGAGAAATTCTGAAAATTAATATTTTTTCATCTGCTTTTTATTTCGTAATAAGCGTCCATTTTTGTCTATGTATTTTGAGCGCTTATGAGTTTAAAAAATAATGGACGCTTATTACGAAATAAAAAGCAGATGAAAAAATATTAATTTTCAGAATTCCTCAGATACAAAAGGAACTGTATATGAAAAAAAAATCTATATAATTATAGCAACAGCTATTAGGGGGAGTGAACAACTAAAAATGGCTGCTACACAAGTAGTACTGTTAGCTCCAACCACTTTGATTCCAGCTAAACATAATTTAAACTCAAAGAATCCACAGAGGCCAAAAGAGACTAAATCAGTGAATATTTTTAAGAACATTTTTTCGAGTTATTTTCGAAAAAACAAGGTCCTTACTAATACATTACTCTCGCAAGCTCGCTAGTGAAAAAATCAAATGTCAAAAAAATCTGAACGAAAAAATGTAAACCACGAGATATTTTATCTGCACCAATTAAAATGAGGTAAATACAGCCAATCGAACAGCCAAAAAAGGAAAAATTCTAGCACCCGATTGCAATATCCTTCTTCAACTCAAGAATAAAAATGGTGATGTAAAATCCCTAGCTAGAAAGAACTTTCGGTTTGTAAAATATTTCAATCGCCAAAAGTTTTGAATATGTTTGAAAAATAATGTACGGAGATAGAATCAAATTCTAATCATTATGGCAATTAAAAAACATCGGCGCCTAGACCGAAAAAAAACAAGACGAAATCAATGGACCTAAATATCTGATTCTAAAACATTAAAAATTTGGGTGCATAGGAGGTGTACTTACTGAATTGAAAGAACACTTCACTTTTATTAGCAAACTTGCTAAAAATAGGACTTAAGAACAAAAACTTAAGCGTGCAACGCAGTCCACGGGTTGGTAGAGTTCAGCCTGATTATTAAGACCATTTATCCACGGGGGAAAGGACCAACACAAGAGCTGTACAGCTCATCACGGCGAACCGCTGTTGTGCCGTGCCCCTGTTTAAGAACTACATGCAATTTTTTTGGTTATTTTTCAGCTAATAATTCGAAGCAATTTTGTACGCAGACGCAAAATAGTTCGAATTTTTCTTCGATCTAATTATCCAAACTCAATCAAGCATTCTATAAGTCTTATCAAATTTTATGTGATAGCTATTTTATTAAACCATTCGACGAGCAAGATAGATCATTAAATTATGTTCACATAGTCAAAATGTAAAAACTCAACCACCAAACGCCTTGTTAGTTGAAGAAAAATATATATTTTTGACACGCATTTTCACAGCCTGCAAGAAACATGGGCGATCTGCACGTAAGTTTGTTAATGCTACGCAGCACAAAAATCGCAGAGGTTTTTCTGAAAGTTTCTGATCACGTTTTCAGGTTTCTAAGTAGAATTTTGAAAAAAAAAATCAAAATTTCATAGGCTTTGAAGAAATTGAAGGCTTTGAAGAAATTACCCTTTCGACTGTTTATTCTATCACATTGGGGTTGACGGGCTATTCTCACGGTTGAAGGTTCGGTGGCCAAAAATTCGCAACTAACAAAATCCTTGGAATGGCACAAACCTCGAGCTGCATTGTAATTATCATGCCATTTTTCAAATGTTTGAATGAGGAACCCAGATTGGCTAATACTACATACGCTTCTTTTGTCATAGAGGATTTTTCATATTATATCTTCTAACACCTGCTCTTTTCCAGGGTACAGCTGCTAGTTCCAGTATTTGCGAAGAACATCCGAGAAAGACCAAGGACCTGTTCTGCCAAAAATGTGAGGTCGCTCTGTGTTCTGAATGCTTTAATTCAGACCATACAGGCAGTCCTCATAAAGTGCTCAGCATCGAGGCAGCTAAAGAACGCCGCGAGCAAGTGGGAATATTGTTGGAAGCCTACTCACGATCTGTAAAAGATACATCAGAAACTTTGAGCATGATGAACGCACACATCCTAAGATTTGTCTCCAATGATTTGCGGTGCGCTGAAGATATCTGCTATGTTTACCAGCAAAGTTCAATTTATAATAGAGACCTGAAAAGAAAGCGGGAAGTGCTGGACGAAGCACTAGAGAAGCAACGAATCGTGGTTGCTAGCTTCCACAGAAAGGCCAAAAAAGAGCTGGATGAAAAGTTTTCCGCGGTCGAAGACGCTCTGAGGAAAGTTTGCGATCAAAATTAGCCTTAAATAACAAGAAAAAACCGTTCGTTAAAACTAGTCGTTGGCTTGAAAAAAAAACAATAACAGACTTTCTTTTGATGGTTTCCGGAAAAGCCCACAAAAGCAAATTAGCCTAAAAAATGTCCGATCTCACAAAATGCGTGTGAACAAGAGCCGTTATTTTTGAACAGGTTCTAAAGAGAGAAAGAGTTAACGAAACAAATTCATGATTTAATACGTCTAACGAAAATAATTAATGAATTTATTTCGTTAACTCTTTCTCTCTTTAGAACCTGTTCAAAAATAACGGCTCTTGTTCACACGCATTTTGTGAGATCGGACATTTTTTAGGCTAATTTGCTTTTGTGGGCTTTTCCGGAAACCCCTGTAACGCAACTTTCCGATAAAAAACTGTTGCAAGCACTGGGAATTTTTAGATATTTTTCTCTCTTCCACTTCGTACAGAGGGGAGCTGCAGTTCGCACTTCAATAAATGGCCACGAGTCAGTTGCCGTACTCATTAATTAATCGACTCATGTCTGGAAAACACAACTTTCGCCAAGATCGCTCTCGAATCACGCTATGTTAATTCCAAAGTGACTGGTTTCTCGTGACCCATTAACAAGACCAAATAGCTAGCCTCAACTCGAATTTGAATGTTTTTTTTGCCGCTTACTCCGCTACAAGCCACCAGCGGATTTAAGGGAATCCGCCCCCCCCCCTCAGGGATTCGACCCCCTGCCGACCCAAAGAGTCTCCCTTTGTAATATTTTGAGAATTCAATTTTTGGATGACTGACCATAAAAGTTTTCAAAAGGCGCCAAAATATAGCAATTTTGAGGGGGGGGGGGAGCACGCGCCGAAAAAACGCGATTTTTGGTCAAAATTTTCCAAAAAAATCCTAAAAACCTAAAATCCTAATTACTGTTTTTTTTCAAAAATTTAGCGAAGCGGAAGCGATTTGGGAGAGCTCAGAAAATCATTTTGGTCAACCTAAAAAAGGTCGACAAATATTTTGAATTTTTTTGAAGTAAATTAACCTAGCATCAACTACAATCTAAAATAAATATATCTACAATGCATTAAATTATCCAAAAAAAACTATAGAAGAAGCGTTTAACAATATTGAAATCCTTATATGAAGACGAAAGCAATAGCTAACCTTCACTTCCAATCAGAAAAAAATCTAATGAAAGAAGAAGGATTTTTCGATAGTGTTCACAAAAACCAATGAAAATATGTTGAAAGTACAGCATCGGAACTAATGAATGAACCCAAAAACAAAAGAAAAGCTGGGCTTGAAAGAGCTTGCTAACAGACAGAGCTAACAGACGATAGGAAAAGAGTCAATGAACGTAGGAAAAAATCGACTCTTTAACAAAATCAAAAACACTTGCATCTACGATGAAAACTTCTGAATGCACAAGAAAATTCTCCGATATTGCAACTAAGTCAACAAAACATAAGTAGACAAACAAAGCCCGACAATTCAATTTTCTTCCCGGAAAACATTTTCTATTTCACACAAACTGAAAAACATAGCTAACTGACAAATGAAAAGAGAAGCGAACGCAAGAAAAAACAAAAAATGACGTTATTGGAAAAAAATTTCGAACATTACAAAAATAAATATGAGGCCTTAAAACTCTTTGATTTTGAAGAATAAATTAGAATTGATAATTTTCGATAAAATTAACTGACTTAATTTTTGAAAAACTTCAACTTTCGAATTTCTAAGAAAAAAATGGCACTTTTTCATAAAATTGACCAGTTTGAGAAAACTAGATCAAAAAGGTAAAATTTTTATTTCGCTGGCCAATCTGTAAATTAAGGTGCTTTTTCGAAACTAGAGTTCGATCAAAATTTCATGACCTTCACTCTTTTGCTGTCCGTTTTGCTTTCCTTTTAACAAAACAAATAAACTGAATTTAAAAAAAAATAAAACAAAAGTCAAACCGCAATTTTGAGCGAGATTAAAATTAAATTTCATTTTACCCGAATTTTTTTTAAAAAATAATCAAGAACTATATAAGAGTCTGAATACGTTCATCGACTCTAAAAAAAGTTTTGCAAACGACAAAAAAAGTAAGATTCAACAAATTTTTCATATCCTGGTCTTGAATTGAATTCACTTTATTACAAACTGAACATGATAATCAGAAAATGGAAAATTTGCATGGAAATAAATCGGTATGAAGCCATCAATTTTTGAGCAGACACCTGTTGGCAAAAAAACTCCCTAGAAAAAACTTCAAAAACAAATTAACCCTCAAAATCACCCTCAAAAAACCAATGAAAAATATGTTGAAAGTACAGCATCGGAACTAATGAATGAACCCAAAAACAAAAGAAAAGCTGGGCTTGAAAAAGCTTGCTAACAGACAGAGCTAACAGACGATAGGAAAAGAGTCATTGAACGCAAGAAAAAATCGACTCTTTTACTAAATCAAAAACACTTGCATCTACGATGAAATTTTCTGAATGCACAAGAAAGTTCTCCGATATTGCAACTAAGTCAACAAAACATAAGTAGACAAACAAAGCCCGACAATTCAATTTTCTTCCCGGAAAACATTTTCTATTTCACACAAACTGAAAAACATAGCTAATTGACAAATGAAAAGAGAAGCGAATCCAAGAAAAAAACAAAAAATGACGTTATTGGAAAAAAATTTCGAACTTTACAGAAACAAATATGAGGCCTTAAAACTCTTTGATTTTGAAGAATAAATTAGAATTGATAATTTTCGATAAAATTAACTGACTTAATTTTTGAAAAACTTCAACTTTCGAATTTCTAAGAAAAAAATGGCACTTTTTCATAAAATTGACCAGTTTGAGAAAACTAGATCAAAAAGTAAAATTTTTATTTCGCTGGACAATCTGTAAATTAGGGTGCTTTTTCGAAACTAGAGTTAGATCAAAATTTCATGACCTTCACTCTTTTGCTGTCCGTTTTGCTTTCCTTTTAACAAAACAAATAAACTGAACTTAAAAAAAATAAAACAAAAGTCAAACCGCAATTTTGAGCGAGTATAAAATTGAATTTCGTTTTACCCGAAACTTTTTTAAAAAATAACCAAGAACTAAAAAAGTGTCTGAATACGTTCATCGACTCTAAAAAAGTTTTGCAAACGACAATAAAAGTAAGATTCAACAACTTTTTCATATCCTGGTCTTGAACTGAATTCACTTTTTTACAAACTGAACATGATAATCAGAAAATGGAAAATTTGCATGGGAATAAATCGGTATGAAGCCATCAATTTTTGAGCAGACACCTGTTGGCAAAAAAACTTCCTAGAAAAAATTTCAAAAATAAATTAACCCTCAAAAAACCCACACGCATACGAAATTTGTTTCGCTTATCAAGCGATGCAAAATGATGCCACTGAGCAGATTGAGTATCACCAGGAAAAAATTAACCGAGTAAAAACGAAAAAAAAATCATACCGAATCGGAGTAGTGAAAATAAAACTAACAAAAACAAAAATAGACCGTAACGCACCTCCGGTTCGAATTTTTAACAACTCATTAAAAACGTATTGTTGAAAAGAAGATCTGCATCCTTTAAGTGTACCCTGACAGCACCCAATTACAGGGTTGGTAGTTTCAAATTAAGCAAAGTTTCTTTCATTCAAACTTTTTTATTCAAACTTTGAAAAACCATAAAATTTTGTGAAATTTTATATACGTAAGTTGCTTGAAAAAATTTGAAATTAACTAAGAAACGTCACATTTGGGAAACTACAAGGACTTGAGCAGTCGTATTTGAACGCGAGAATTGCGATTCCCGAGAGTACTGTCACAAAACCCAACTACAGGGCTAGGAATTTCAAATTGAGAAACTTTTCAAATTTCAGTTTTCTAAAAATTAAACTTCGAAAACCATAAAAAACATCATATCTCAAAAAATTTTCAAGACTTGAGCAGTCGTATTTGGAGTTAATATTCGCAACCCCTGAGAGTTTTTTGACAGGAATTTCATTTTTGAAAAAAAAACTCAAATTTAAGCTTTTTAAGCGAATTTTTTTTAAAAAGTAATAAAAAAACGTCTTATCTCAAAAACTCTTTAAAATAGATTATGAATAGAACGGGTTTTTGAAATGCAAACATCTGCTCCAAATAAGTCTGTTGCATGACAAAAAAGCAGATTTGAAAAAAAAATTATACAGTGACTTAGTTGGATAAATTGTTTACAAGAATAAGTTTATGTTCCGAACTGATAACGCTTTCTAAGCGCAAGCACAATTATGGAATACGTAATAACTCAGTGCGCATTAATGTACTGAGCAAAAACTTAATTATAATTTTTTTTAAAATAGAACTAAAAATCCGCAAAAAAAACTTGGAATTTAATTACCTCCACCGATGGGTTTTTAGAGAAAGGGCATTCAAGAATTCAGAAGAAAGCTATATCTTCAAAAAGAGTCCGAGCTACGGGAAGTCAGCCAACAAAAATAAACAGACGGAAGATAGTCCAAAAAAGCAGAAATTTTCTTGAGTTACCTCTACTCCAGATTCTCAGAATGTTTGATTAATTTTGAATTTAATATGAAACAAGAAATCTTGTGAACAAACTTGTTTCAGGGAAAAAATCTAGCACCCAGTTGCAACACCTTTGCTTATCGCACGGGCAAATAACAAAGCTCGCTAGGTGACCAAACAATTGCGGTGAATGCTTTTACGCCGAAAAATTAATTGAAACAATGCATCGAAAGAATTTATTTTGTTTGGGACAAAACACTACATGCTTCCGATATCATCAGACTAAAACCTCAAAAATATATACGATAACGAAAGCAAACATCTTGGCAAGACGCCCTTTAAACCGAAAAGAAAAATAGTTCTAAGCCCCCTCAAAATTTTTGACCTAATTCACTACTTACTAGATTGTTTCACCCTCGCTCCGAAAAACCAACTCTCTGATCGCCGCTGGCGCGTAAAAACTCTCAAGTGGCATCGAAGATATCCACTAACTTGTTATCCTCCGAATTAGCAAAGTTATCAAGTCTCAAAAAAATTTGCCCGAACTTTTAGCGCTACCACAATAGCTCTTCATCGTTGTCGTCTCTGATTGATTTCGGCTCGAAAGATGAAACTGAATTTTAAAAAATAAATTCCAGCCATTGAACTAAACATGTACTAAAACGAAAATGCCGGCTGCTTATTGTTACGTATGGTTGATGCCCGCTAGATAGAATGTTGTTCAGCAGACAGCTTCTTTATATTAGTCTATTGTATTGTATTGTTATGTGTGCCCGCATCCAGTTTCAAGCGTTAATAATCGATTATATTACGATTTTAGTACCAGTCTCACTAAAATTGAGAAACAATCGATTTAATTCAATTAATAATCGATTATAATCACTCTTTTTAAAATCAAAATATAATCAATTATAATCAATTATAATCGATTATAATCGATTTTTTATTCGTTTTTTTTTCGATAAAATTATAATCGATTATAATTGATTATAATCCATTATTTTTATTCAAATTTCTATTTCATTAGTTTTGCACAAAAACCTAGTATAATCGATTTTAATTGATTATAATCCCTTTTGTTTGTCCATTTTTGTCTTCGAAGTTGCATCTCAATTGCTTATATTTTATGCTTTTTGTGGACATTGGTTTCTATAAAAAATGAGAAGTTTTTTTTTCATTTCTTCCCCATTAGGGTTGTTTTGTCATGCATATGTTAAGCTTTTTTAAACACCAAAACATCAGCAAATTGATTCAGTCTCATGATTGATTCGGAAAATTTATTTTTCATATACCGCGAGAACCTTTCCCTTCATATGAAAGGATCTCTATGAAACTTTTGTTTCGTGGTAAAACTTTGTGTTCAGATGAACCAAAGTGTTCAAGAGATCTCTCTTTTAGAGATTTTCTTACTGACACAAAATTAATAACCCATAAAATATAATTCGAATATCGCAAAATTTCGGCAAAATGAGAGATTATAATTGATTATAATCGATTATAATTGATTTTAAGGGTTTTTACTAAGAACTGTAATCAATTATAATCGATTATAAGAGATTATAATCTCTTGGAAAATATCACGATTATAATCAATTATAAATCCCTTAAGGACCTAATTTTGGTAATTATAATCGATTATAATTGTCAAAAAATCATCTTAATAATCCGTTATAATCGATTATTTACGCCTAAACTTGGATGCGGGTGGTACTAGTACTGTAAACAACTGTATCAGGCATTAACATGTCATCTCAATCTATCAATCTATCTGATATCATCATCATCATCATCATCGACAACTTCAGCTAATGAGTTGTTCTGTTTCACTACGCAAACAGTCAACCTCTTTTCTCACTTCAGATCATTCAAATTCGCTTGGAAAGAAAAGAAGGGCATTGGAGAATGATGGATAGGGTAATCTTCAGACACACCAAAATGATCTACTTTTAGCTCTGCACAGAAAGATGGTTAACATTGGACGGTGTGGTGGGTGTAGCTAATATACGCGGGGATGCGGTGGGGGGGGGGGGGGGGGTTGAGAGACTAGAGAAATAAACTGAGCGTAGATACCAGATTGCAGTTGGATCATATGTAGACTAAGACGACAACAACGAGAAGTTGCGGACGGAATAGTAAACATGTATACGTAGCAGTAGTAAGAGTAGAATTGGATTGGTAGGTACTAGGAGTAAAACGATAATAAACACAAAACCTGCAGCTGAGCTCAACTAAAGATAACACAGTATTAATATTGCCGAAGTGAAGAAGGAAAGAGACAAAGCAAACGTCTCCTCCTCTCATACAAGAGGTCTTGGAACTCTTGTTAAAAAATATACTTATGTTATAATTTATTTTTTCACACCCTCGATCTTTTATTTCACAACAAGACTAGCAAGCCCGTCTCGAATAATCAATTAGTTGCTGTTCTGATCAAGCTATCAAGCAAAAAAAAACTTTGAACAACTTCAAGTTAGGCCATATAGTAAATCGGTGTAAAAAAATTTAGGTTTCACAGAACGAATCGTTTCCTGAAAAAAAACCGTTTTTCTAAGCAAGCTATGAAACTTCGAGATGTTTCAAAAAAGCAAATCGGATGACGCAACTCAACTCTATCAGCAAAAAAGTTCTGCGAAATGGTTCACAAAAGGTTCAAGTTTTTATTTGAATAATAAAGCTATGAAACTTTGAAACATTTATATTTACTTCCTGGACCGAATCGGTTTTCGAAAAAAATTCTCAGCATGCAGGTTGCTGTTATCAGTTTATTCGTTTCAGACTGAAATGATTCTGTAAATGCAAAATTTGGGACAGAAATAGGCAAGTACTGTCTAGCCTTGAAGTTGGATCGAGTTCATCTTTCTCTGATGGTTGCTTTGAATGATTCTTAAACGTTGTGCTCGATAGAAAAGTTAAAACGTTGCGTCCATAGCGCATTAAGACTTTCATTTAATATACAAGATTATAATTAATTATAATCCATTATAATTGATTATAATCGATTATTTATTCGTCTACGTTTCGATACAATTGTAATCGATTATAAATGATTATAATTCATTATTTTATTCAAATTTCTATTTCGTTAGTTATGCACAAAAATCCATTATAATTGATTATAATTGATTATAATCCTTTTTGTTTGTCCATTTTTGTCTTCGAAGTTGCATCTAAATTGCTTATATTTTATGCTTTTTGTGGACGTTGGTTCCTATAAAAATAATATTTTTAAAGTTTTCCAATTAATTCAAATTTATAAGTTTTTTTTATAAATTTATTCCCCATTAGAGTTGTTTTGTGATGCATATTTTAAGGTTTTTTAAACACCAAAAAATCAGCAAATTGATTTAGTTTTATGATTGATTCGCAAAATTTATTTTTCAACTACCGCGAGAACCTTTCCACTCATATGAAAGGATCTCTATGAAACTTTTGTTTCGTGGTAAGACTTTGTGATCAGATGAACCAAAGTGTTTGAGAGATCTCTCTTTTAGAGAGTTTCTTATTGACACAAAAATAATAACCCATAAGATCTAATTCAAAAATAGGAAAATTTCGGCAAAATAAGAGATTGTAATCGATTATAATCGGTTATAATTGATTATAATTGATTTTAAGGGTTTTTAGAAAGAACTATAATCACTTATAATCGATTATAGAGATTATAATCTCTTGGAAAATATAACGATTATAATCAATTATGAATCCCTTAAAGACCTAATTTTTGTAAGTATAATCGATTATAATTGTCAAAAAATCATCATAATAATCCGTTATAATCGATTACTTACGCCTATATTTGGATGCGGGTTGGTGCGCTACCAGATAAAAAATTAAAAACCCTCTAAATTACGTGATTTTCCTTATTATAGCCCTTCCCCAGCCTTGCAACAAAAAATAGCCCCTCCACACTGCTTTGATTTTAAGGATATCTTTTACCGGGGGAGGGGGAGGGGGCTAGTATACTCAAATTAACAGGAATTATTTACCAACACTAACACTAAAAGATATTAGAATCTGTTAAACCAGTCCATTCCCTATTGCAAAAGGGGTAGTTTGTGACTAGAACGATCTAATTAGTTCTTTATGGGGAGGGGTTGTTACTCGTTTTATAACCATAGGGTACCATAGAAAAGAGGAGCGGTTAGAGAGAAAAAATGTAATTCTGGGAAAAATAAGACTGCAATAATCCTAGAAAAAGAATGGAAAAAGTAAATCCTGGAAAAAAACATAAAAAATTAATATTAAATTCCGTCATAGAAGGATCGCATTTCTCAAAGCATAAAAAATTTTGAGCATCAATTCACGAGAAATTTAAAGTGAGAAACTCAATTCTTATTATAATATGCAAAGCAATCAATCAAATAAAAGATTGGCCGCTCTTCTTTTTTCAGTTTATTTCTAACTCGACCGCTTTTCATTCAAAAAATGCGTGATTGAAAGTTTGTTCACCGAACCGCAATCACTGATTGCTTTTCTCTCCATGAAAAAATAAGGAAGTCTTTTCATTTCTGAAACATAATGAAAAAGTTTACTTTCTTCGTTTTTAGATGCGATATATCTGAAAAACTGTGACTTAACAATTTAGTTTCTCAATTAGAAAAAGGAAACTTTTGGATGGAAGTTTTTGCTTAAGCCGCACATCATCAGAGTAGTTTTGTTTATACTTGAAAGCCGATAAACCTGTTGCAATGCATGTACGCAGGTGGCCTCAAAAAACCAGCTCTACGTTGGACGTTTTGCAAGTGGTTTTTCGCGTACTACCATTGATGGTACGACCTGGCCAAACCAATGTTTAAAACACACCAACAATTGGGGTGTTTACGAAAAGGAAACTTATTTAGCAAACTTCTTGTTTAATAATGCTTTTGATTTTTAACAAAATGATTTTGAATTTGATTTTAACAAAAATGTTATCATAATTGAAAAAAACAAGAGTAGCTGTTCGGTGTGATGGTAGTACAGAAAGTTCCAACTACACTGCTTGATAAGAAAAAAAAGGAACTTTTAAAATCAAAAACAAATGTAATTTTTTTCTAGAAAGGGTGCCTGAATTTGTTTTTAAAATAGCCAAATTAACGTAAAAACAAAAAAAATAGAACAAAATTGAGAGTCTTGAATTAGTCTGAAAACTTGAAATATTCAGACCCTTGTTTCTTGCAACTATGACGTTTTTTTTTGGTATTTCCAATAACCAAATTACGATTATGACAGCACATTTGACAGCTTTTTATGACAGCACATTTGATCCAAGATGGCTTTATTTGTGGTAGTAAAGTGTATTCGATACAATAAAGACTTAAAGACAATGAAAAACAAAAAAACAACAGCAAGACTGCTCGTATCAGGGCAAATTCTTTGAATATTCCGATTGCCCTTTACATGGCCTTGAATTGTTTTTAGTTCATGAAATATTGACAAACTATGATTTTTAATTCGTTAAAATCAAAGTTTAAGTGTTAAAATTTGAAACAAAAATGAAACAAGACTTCTCGTATATCAGGGCAAAGCCCTGAATGTTCCAACTGTTCCTTAATTCATATCCAATAGCTTTTGGGAAACTAAATTGTTGAAAATTTTGTACAATATCAAAGTGTGAGATGTTGAGTCGTACAAAAAATATACGACCGATCTGATTAGCTATCCTAATTCATTCTGGAACGAGTTTTTGTGCGGGATAATTCGCCACGCATAAGTAATTCGCGTTACGGTGGCGCGTTTGGCGATATAAACAAACTCTTCAAAGCGCGCATAATTTAGTCCAGAACATGACCAATTTAACAATTTTCAAACCCCCAGAACCTTACCAAATAATAATTGGACGTAAAATTTCTTTTTAAGTTTGAACTCAGGAAGTCAACTTCTCCAATGGAGTATAAAACACTTTTGTCAAAAACCATTACTTTGATCGGCGAAATATGACTGAATGAAAAAAAACACACCGAGCATAAATTTTTCGTTTTCTTCGAAAGTCGGAACAATTAATAAAACTTATTAGCTTGCCTCGATTCAATTTGGAAACATTTTGTAGTGCACAATAAATCGTCACGTGTAAATAGTTTGCCTTTCACTTTCGGCAGCAAAGGTGAAAAACCAGCAATTTAGCCTGAGTTCAAACTGTCCAGACAGTCAAGTTATTAAAGTTGAGAGTTCCGCTCGGCCGATCCCATTTACATCCAGAGATCGAGCCCCAAGTGAACAATATATACAACTTTGAAAATCTATCTGAAAAAAAATCTGAATAAAAATAAATATTCCTCACTTGCTTCGAATTTGGAACAACAACACCGCTCGTATAGCAGGGCAAAGCCTTTGGATATTCCAACTAGCCCTTAATTAGTCTCGAATAGTTTCAAACACGCAGTCAAGTACAAAATGATTCATATCGTGCCGGATGTAACCGCATCGGAGCAAGCACATTCTGCTAACCAAGGCACCTTGTTACAAATTGTCGTCCGACCACGAAATAATTAGACTCCTGGTAGATTTTTACCTTGAGGCAATTTTCGACTTTTCAACTAGCCATTTCCGATAGAAGTTTTTAATCATCCCAAAGCTATTAACTCGTAAGCGGAGAATTAATCCGTCTTAGCAGTTTTTCAAATAAGTTAACGCAAGCTAGTTGTCCTAAATACTACGTAATAGGAGCGAAATCTGCCTCCCTTTTTATACGGCGTGTGAGTGAGGATTTTCAAAACAAAAACTCGAATTTAAAAAAAAAAAAGTTTCGGTTTTTTTAATATAAAGTCACCAAATTTTAATAACCGAGCACTACTCCATAGACTTTAGAAGATAGTGGGAACTTTCAAGGCTTCACCCTGATACGAGAAATCTTGTTTTCTTTTGAGCGCAATGAAAACTAATACTGCTCCAGCAGAAATGCAGCCTAATTTGCAGACTAATTTGCAGCCCAACCAAAAAAAAAATCATCTATGCCAATTCCACTTAAATAACTAGGAAAATAATATATAGTTAGGAAAAATTTTATACAGCTAGGAACATAACACAAACTAGAAAACTTTTTATAATACCTCAAAATATCAATTTCCTACAATTTCCTATAATTTCTTTCTACTTTTCTATAGAAAGCTCGCCACTTTTTTCGAACTTTTCAGTTTTGGTCCTGGCCGATTTATTGAAAATCGGAGATTGGAAATTTAAAAAAAATTACGCTTAGAGAAGTCTGAAAACGGAGCTGGAGGTCCCATGACTATGTCTCAGGCTAGTGCTTATTGGTTGTAAATGCGGTTTCAAAATTTTATTTTTTTATGTTAGCCTGAAAACATTTTACTTTTGAGAGTAAAATAGCAACAAGACTGCTCGCATCAGGGCGAAGCCCTGAAAGTTCCGACTGCCTTTTACCGTTTATGGAGCAGTAATAACATAAACAACATAAAAAATTTAATGAAATGAAATAAATTAAAAAGTTTTTTTTTCTAAAATTTGAAAATGTTTCGATGAAAATCATCCCCCCACACGCCATATAAAGTACAAAACGATAGATTTCGCTCCTTGTAACAAATCAATTATGGCAAATAGGCTTCTTTTAACCAATTTGGAACGATTTCTAAGACGGATTAAATCTCCGCGCGTTAATTGTCCCAAATTGGTCAAAATGGCCAAAATGGCAATCTTTAAACACTCATAACTTTACGAAAAATAATCACAGGTGAAATATCTTTTCAAATTTAAGCTCAGGACAACAATAGCTTTCGAATGATATAAAAAAATTTCACCAAAAATGGCTAGTTAAAAAGTCGAAATTTGTCTGAAGAAAAAAAAAACCCACCCCGAGCTAAAATATTCCGTTACTTTCGTATCGAAAGTCGGAACAAAAAAATTACCTTTGGCTGGGATAATTTGAACTTGTAGTCGTAATACACACTGGTGCTGGTGCCGTCTGAGAAGTTCGTAGGAACAAAGGCCACACTCTTGCACGTCATCTGCACAATGTCCTGAAGGTCACGTGAGAACTCACTCACTGTTTTGTACTTTCTAGCCCTGTCTGCACTCCCTGCTATGTACCTCAATTCGGTGTCATCCGCATTTTTTTTGGTCCCAATGGCATAGAACGTGATCTGTGGATACTGCAACAAACAAAACATAGTCAAAAGGCAGTTAAAAATGTCGTTCAACTCAGAAATAACATAACTTTTTTTTTCAATTTTCCATTTTTGAAGTCGAGAAAATATTCCAGCTGATGTATTTGATACCAAAAAACAAAGAGTCAGATCAGTAATATGAAGTAAAAAAAGAATTGGACCCAACACTGATCTCTGAAAAAATCTATGGTGTATCCAGGGGGCGGATCTAGGATTTTCTCGAAGAGGTGGGCGGATTTTCGAAAAATTTTTGAAAGTTTTGTCGACCTTTATTTTTTAAGTCAACTAAATTGGTTTTCCGAGCTCTCCCAAAGCATTGAAAAGACCTTATTTTGGTCAATTTTTCAGCGCCGCATTCAAAATTTTGAAAAAAATGCCAAAAAAAGGCATTTTAGGCAGTTTTTGGAAAATTTTGACCAAAAAATCGCGCTGAAAATTAGTATATATTGGCGATGAAGGCGACTTTAGAAATATTTTAGGGTCCATCACCAAACTTGGATATCTCAGAATAGTATAAAAAAGGGAACCTTTGGGTTGGTAGGGGGTCGCATCCCTGAGAAAAAAGCATCCACCTCTCCCCCCTCCTAAATCCGCCCCTGGGTGCATCCCCTATACCAAAAAAAACCACTCAAAAGAGTCATTTCGACTTTTTAAGGAAAAATATTTAATTACGCTGCCAACAGTTTCCCTCATAAGGCAAAAAAGGGGAATTGGTAAAAAAACTAATTAGAAAAAAAAAGCAAACAAAGAAACTCTTGAAAAGCAATGTTGTGACTGTCATTGAAGAGCTGCATAACAATATTTCACAACACGGTCATTATGGTCAAACACGCTTCTAGGTTTCCGTAGAGCTCAAACAAATCCAAAGAAAAATCAAATATATGTTTTTTTTCAAAACTTCCCCTTGAAATGCGCTACTTTGGATATGACCCGTGTCCTTAAGGGGTTTTAGGGATATCCCCCTCAGGGATTTGACCCACTCACCAATCGAAGGGTGCCCCCTTTCGTATTACTTTATTACATCCATTTTCGGTCGACTAAAGTTTTTCTAAGGCCGCTTTCGGCGCCAATATATACTAATTTTGGGCTCTTTTCTATCCGCTTCCCCGTGTGCTAATTTTTAAAGTAAATTTTTTGTTCACATTGTCCGATTGGTATGAAAAGTGGCATGCAGACTAGTTAGGCCATGACAAATAAGTTTAGTCTTTATAAACAACCTTTAATAACACTTGTTACACCATAAAATTGATGCTCGTGTGAGGTGGGGCGAATAGGAAAAGGATTCCTCCTCGAAAAAACCCTAGATTTAAACCGCCGCTGGTTTAGGAGATCTCAGCATCGAGTGACACACCTTGTTAAACTGGTCGCGTTCAATTTTAGTGGCATGTTTCTTGCTTGACATTCCATCAGTTAACACTATGACCACTTTGCTGACAGTAGCATCATGTAGTCGAGACCCGCTCTGGCCTGACTCCATCATTTGCAGAGTTTTCTCCAGCGCAAAATCCGTGTGAGTTCTTCCGGTACCGTGAATGTGGTCACTCAATATAGCTTTTATTGCCCCCTTATAGCTGCCTTGACGTTCTCCTGGAACCAAAACGGATAGCCCAAAAGAATACTGAGACAATTATTTGAACTTGAACTGATAAAAAAGCAAATAGATAGTGTGATATTAGTGTGAAAAATGCATACAAAACAAGGAAACTAAAAAAAAAATAGATTTAACATTTCGAAAAATATATCACGGTAAAGCTCTCTAATGTTTAAGGAATTGTTACGATGTTACATTTTTCCTAAAAACATCCCATTTACATGAAAGTGGACCAAAAATAAAATTTTTGTTCCTCTGGGAATTCAGGAAAAAAAATCCATTTTTGAAGCTAGAATTCATCCAAGTTTTCTGAGATTTTTACGTTTTTCCTGTTCGATACTGGAGTTTGCCTTTATTTCCTCAAAAGAAATGAACTGAACTAAAAAAAAGCAAAAGCCAAACAAGAAAACAATAACTTTCAGTCTGAACAAACTTTAAGACATTTTTCTGGAAAAAAAAAACAACCAAAAACAATGGCGACCAATACAAAACTCATCACGAATTATACAATAGTCATAACTACGTTCAACAAGTCTTATAAAATAATTTTGAACTTCTCAGCTTGTAAATTTTTGGAGTTTTGCAGCTTTCGAAATTCAAAGGCAAAAATATATCAAAACAAAGCTCTTCGAAATTCAGCAAGAATTCTGTAAGATTATTTCCAAAAAAACTATCCCATTAGAAGACAACTGAATCAAAAACTTTCATTCAGAAAATTAGAAGCCGTCATCGAGACTAGAAGTCAACGAGTTTTCGTAATTTTTACGCTTTTGCTTTTTGATAGCTGAGTTTTCCTGCTTTGAACAAAGGAAATTAACTGCAGTTAGAAAAATCAAAACTCCGCCGCGAAAAACCGAATATGCTCTTGAACAAGTTTTAAGATTTAATGAAAAAAAAACATAAAATAGTCAGACCTATTCGAAGGAAAAAAAACTTCGTTCCTTTACACTTAAAACAGGAAAGATATTTTTGATAGGTTTACAACTAAAAAAATGAAACTACCCACAATGAGGTTCCATTGATAATAATCGAAAATAAGAGATTTTCTTGGACGAGAATGTTGCCATTATAATCGATTATAATTACACTTTGCGATCAAACAAGCGATAATAATCCATTATAATCCAGTAACTGTAAAAAATTCAAATCAATTATAACCCTTTTAAAATCCGTTATAACTGATTACATTGGATTGTAATCTGTCTAAAGCGTTTCCATATTTTCAGCAAGACTTAAAATTTTTTGTTAATTTGTTACAAGCTGCTGGATTTTTAAACCTACTTACATCTATTTTATTTATGTAAAACGATATCCAGCTGAAATACCCGGCTCTTTTCTACCCTCCCTACAAATTTGAATTTGAATATTAAAACATAGCCAATCGAAGATTGGAAAAGAATAATGCACGCAAGTAAACATATAACATTGCCAATCGAAGATTGGAAAAAAAGTATTGAACGCAAATAAACATAAAAACAGCGACTTTTTTGAAAAAGTCTCATTTTTCGAATTTCAAAAACGAAAACCGATGCAATTTAAGCTTTTTGATTTTCTCGAGTTCCTAATTGGCGTTTTTTTCATAACGTGAAAGCAACTAGAGAAATCTGGATCGATAGGTAAAGTTTTTATTCCACTGGAAATCTAAAAATTTTAATTTCAATTTCGAAAGTAAAAATTGTTCACGTTTTTCAAATGAATTTCAACTGAACCCAAAAAGTTCATTTATACCTAATTGCATTCATATGGACGAATGCATACCTGTAGTTATTAGAGACTTTTAAAACTTTTCCTGGAAAAAAAACAAAAAAATTGATCAAGACCTACATAAGAGTCTTCAATACATCCATTATTTTTAAAAATTAGTTTTACGTTGCAATATTGTAAAGAAGTTTTGCATAGTGAACAATCTAACTATTACTTTTTATACTTTACTTCGTAACAACACGCAATCAGCCATAATAACAAATAAGATAATTGAAGAAATGGAAACATTGAAATGTGAGGGGGGGATGGAAATGAGCCAAATACCTCAATGTTTAACCCCCTACCCCTCCCCACCACCTGCCCCCCACATCTAACCGTCCCCAAGCCTCCCTGGTGCTCCGTACTTGCAATTAATCACCATCCCCATCATGGAAGTTTTCAACAATTTTTTAATTACTCAAACGTTAAAAAACAGGCCAAAAAACGGTTTTACGCATTTTCACTTTTAACATCCCTCCCCAAACTTGCCGATCTCCCCCAAAAAAACACACCACCCCACCACCCCTGAACTCTCATCGACCTCCAGTCACCCCAAGCCAAACGTAAATCTCTCTTGAACGATTGCAATGTTCAAGTTTTGAGACTATCCAGGCTCATGCTGAAAATAAATTATGATTCATTATAATTCATTAGAATCCATTAAAACATATTTTAATCTATTATAATCCATTATGATCGATTATTTTGATTTGAATGATTTATTTTTTGTTTGTTTTGTAATCAATTATCTATTTATTTAAAGTTTTATGGAAACAGACCTTGAAAATCCATTATAATCGATTATTATCCATGAAGCCTCAGTGCAGGTAGTCAAAATATAATTGTAGATTTCGATAGAAAAAGAGATTTGGGCTTATTTTTTTTGTCCCATTTGACTTTTACCGAAACAACATTTTCTAGGGACACTTTAAACAGTTTACAGTGGAAATAAAAAGCCGGTTGCTGTGCCAATTTGAAAATGCGAACGAGTTTGATTTACTTTTTTTGCAATTTATGGCGTGAACTATTCTGTTTTTAGACACATTCATATGGTAATTTCATAAGGGGGATGGGGCTGGAATAAACTGTACAGTTTTCTGCAGCATTTGCGAAATCTTAAAACTAATTGTTTATATAGGCATTTTTTTCTGGGAAAAGTTGTGAGAACTGTGGGAAAAAATCGAATCACTAAAATTTAGTCGGAAGCAACTTTTTAAAGTCTGGTGTTCTCAAAATATTTATTCATTTTGAAAAATCAGTTTTTTCAAATTTTTGTAAGTTTGTCAGATAGGGAATTTTTTTTACAAATCTTATAAGAAGTTCTAAGATAAGAGAATTTTTTGTAGGATGACCAACCCGGTGCAAAAAAGCCAAGAATAGCGTTCTAACCGTTTCTAAGAAGAACTGCGTAGTCATAATTGACGGTCTTGGAATGAGAGCTGAAGAATGTGAGTGAGACGCGCATCTGGTCTGCATCCGGTCCGATCTTCTGCGAGTCGATGAAGTCTTTCATGAAGTTTATCATCATACGCCACTCGCTACTGGAGATGGAACCCGAGTCGTCAATCACGAACACGAGGTCGGTGCCCTTCGGCTTGCACTGCATGCATTTATTGCCGACCATGTTGGTTTTCGAATCGAACTCTCTGGCATATTGCACGTACATTTTGTAGAAGTGAGAACTAAAACACAAATTCAGCTTTTCTTTCTTAATCACACAATGTTATGATGAAACTCAGTAGTTGCAACCATCACTCTCGAAGAACAAGAAGTGACAATGCCGATGGTTTTTTTCGCAACATTTTAAGCACGATGGAAGTGATCGTACGCGATCAAGGGAAGTATCACAAAGCAAAGCCATTTCAGTCGCAAACGGATTTCAAAAAGACATTCCAAAAAAGCTCTCTTGTTGTCGGCAAAAAACAAGCCGTAATTATTTTGCTTTTCTGAGCCTGATCGAGAATTGATTAATATCAATTTAATATTTCAATGACTTTTGACTTGTCCTAACTTTAAAAAAAATAGTTAATAACAGTTTAACAGTTAAATGAGTATCATATCATGGTTTAAACATCTGTAGAAGTTTTTATGTGAAAAAAAAGCAAAAAAAAAACATAAAATAACGCGGTCGTAACATTCTCTTCTACATGCACCCAATTACTGTGCGTGTTGCAGAAATAGTTAAGGCCAAGGTATTTAAATTATTTAGTTTTTTTTAAACAGTTTTGCCAAAAAAATCCGAAAAAATTCTAAATTTTTAAACTAACTTCAAGTTCTGTTTTTCCATTCAATTTTTCTGTGTTTATTTGATTATTTTTGTTTTATTGTTTAGTTTTTGCCATTTTTTATTGTGTTGAGGCCGTGTTGGGATCATGTGTAAGCCTTCGATGGCAGTCCTGTATGAAGTCAGCAGAAATGCTGGTCTTGCTAGATTCACATTCAAAACACATATATTAGCTTATTTTCGTATTTGCAACTGATTGAAAAATTTGGCAAGCAGACGGAAAAAAATCAGACGAAAATATCAAAATATCGATGTAAAATAAATAGTCTGGGCTCGACTTTGTTTTGAAACACTCGACTTTAGTTTTTCGAAGTTTAGGTTTCGACTTTGTATTCGATTTTTGTTTGACTTTTTGTTCTACTTTATGTTTCAACCGACGCAATTTTAAGCCTCAATTTTGAGTTCGTCTATGCTGCTATTATGAGTTCGAATTTATTTTTCGTCTTTGTAACCGACTATATGTTTTGATTCTGTCTTCGACTTTTTGTTTCAATCGAATCGACTTTGAAACAATTTTGTGTTCATCTATACTGCTAATTAGTTTTCGACTTTAAATTTCGATTTCTTGTTCAACTATTTTTTTGACTTTACGTCCGACTTTAAGTTTCGCAGTTATGCAGTTATGCTTGGAATCTTCGTCTTTAGGTATCGATTTTGTCTTCAAACTCATGCTTTGGCCGATTCGACTTTATGTTTCGACATTGTGTTCGAAATTACGTTCAGCTTTGCAGTCGACTTTTTGTTTGACCGCTATGGTTCGAATAACGCGATTTTAAATTTCTAAACTTGTGTTCGATTTTATGTTTCCTCTATGTGTTGTGATTTTGTGTTCGACATTATGTTTCGACCGAATCGTTTTACTGTTTCAACATTGTGTTCGACTTCATGTTTGGACTGTTTTTTTACTTCAGTTTCGATCGACTCGACTTTAGGTTTTGTACATGTGTTCGACTTTATGTTTCGACCGACGCGATTTAATTTTTCGTTTATGATTTCGACTACAGGTTTTTTCGATCAAAGATTTTCGACCAAACTCGGCTTAGTGTTTGACCGACACCGGTTGAAACATAACTCGCTAACCTCAAATCTGGAATGATTCGTGAGCAGTCAGAGTTCCTAAGCAGTTTCCCGAGAATGTTTACTATAGCTCAATTTACGACTTAGTTTTAGATGTTCCCCGGGTTGACCTCCATACACCAAAAATGCTTATCATACAATTCCATACATCAAGTGTGTGGAAAAATGCTTGTCATACAATTTTCGTACAATTTTTAAAAATGGTTGAAAAAGATATAAACTTATTTCTGTGGCTGTTTGATTCTAATAAAACAGTCTGGTAAAAAAAAACCGAGGTTTTCGTTTTTTGAAAAAAAAAAGCTTATTATACAATTCCCATATATGGAAATTGTATGACTGGCATTTTTTTGATGGCGACACAAAAATTTTGAAAGTAATTTTGAAAATTTGGCCCAAAAATTGTTTGTTTTTTTTTCAATCGCAAATCGAATTTCGTACGCAAACAAATATTTTTTGAAAAAAAATTTTTTGCATGCAAAATATAATTTTTTGTGTGCATAACGTAATCCTGGTTACGATAATACTGGCTTTTATTTTCTTTTGATTTAATTTTTTTTCTTCAAAAATGCTGAAAATTCCTATTTCCTTTCCATGGGGTGTTTATATATGCCTTGATCAATGTCTGATAGTTTGAAAATTCAAAAATTTAAAATAATCACCATTAAAAAATTTTGCCAAAAACTAAAAGTTTGTTGCTTTTTTTATATCAATTGCGAAAGACAGCCGAATTCAGGTCATTTTCTATGCATTGTAAATGCAAAAACCGTCCAACTTTTGGTGGTTTGAGTAACCAAGGTCTTTGTCATTTACGTTTGACTGCAAACACAACCGAAAATTTTTCAGAAATAAATTTAGAAAGAAAAAATTTTTGGTTCATGGAAAAACACCTATCATACAATTTTCATTTATGGGAAAATGTTTATCATAGAGATTTCATACATTTTTCTGTACGTATAGCATTGTATGGAATTGTATGACAAGAAGTTTTTCATATCTGGGAATTGTATGATAAGAAGTTTCGGTCATCTCGGGTCATCTGTAGTACCAAATTTTCAAGGAAAGAATTGCCAGGATCATTTCCACTTCGTGGTCGGTCAAAATAAAACAATCATAGTTTAAGTAAAATTTTCTTTTTTTTTTCAACCCCGAGAATCAATTTTTTCAACATTACGAGGTCAAACTGTGCACTGGATAGGCGCACAATTTTGTGTCTGTATGTTCCTGGATTCCAGAGACAAGTCTTTAAACATGTTAAAATTTTGTCGGAACGATCAAAGGAAAGTAAAGAACAAAAAAAAAGAACAAAGGGAGCGTCCTTGTTGCGGAATCCGCTTACAATGCACAAAATGCAGTTTGGCCTCGTAATGAAGCAATGTTTTTTTTCAGACGTTTTTCAGGTTTTTTTTACTGCAACATTAAACACTTTAAAATATACTCGTTCGCAAGCCACTTTCGAACTGAACTTATTCAGAGTTACATCTCAAATGAACAAATGAACAAAGATAGACAAGCAACAAATATTTGCAGCTTGAATGAAAAAATGTAGATACAGTTTGGAGAAAATCGCTCACCTTGTAGAGTAACCGTATATTTGACAGACGAACTTGGCTTGTTCCTATAAACATTGAAAAAAAAATGAGTATTTTTTTTGCAGGAGTTTTGAGTTTAAAGCAACTTTTGAGACTTATTTGGTTCAAGTGTAGTTGCAACTCAAAGTTTAGAATCGGCGGATTTTGTTCTTATGCCAGAGTTGTAAGGGTACTTCCGCCAATATTCTCGAAAGGCATATCTTGCAAGATATCATGCAAGAAAACGCATTATTCCTGCATTTTTCTTGCAAGAATTGCGCAAGCTTTGCATTCAAATTGCAAGATTTTTGCAAGTTTTGTCTCATATTTGCAAGAAGTAGCAAAATTTTGCATTCTAATGCAATTCTATTTTTTAAATATTTTTGATGTTTTGGTATGTTCAGTACGTTTTTTCAAAAAATCTAGCCCAAAATTTAGGTTTAGAGTTGTTTACAGTAAACCGCAACTGCAAAATAAATATCTTTTAAAACTTGGACCCAGTCCAATAGTTTCTTAAAAGCTATAATGAAATGGGTCCATCTTTGAAAACTAACAGCAATTTCTTTTTGTGTTTAACTAACAGCAATTTCTCGTGAATTGTTGCAAAATTACCGAAATGGGTTGCTCAAAGGGAGTAAAACTGCCAATTTTCTGTAAGCGCGAGTTTCTTACGTAGCCGATTAATCCGGCAAATAAATTACCGTAAAATGAAACGAAGCGAGCATATGTGACAAAAAATGCGTTACTCAAACGCATAATTCACAATGTTTTCACTGGGGATGTTTTAACTTTTCCATAAAAAAAATAAATTAAGTTTTCTGTCTTCTTTCCGATTATACTTTCAGAAATTTAAAAAAGTACTGACAACCTTGAATTTTTTGCCCTGCGCAGGTTTCATCATTATTTACTACTTTGAGGATTTTATCTATGATGCTGCAAGCGTAAAACGACTATTCATCCCTCAAAAAAACTGTTTTTAATTTAAATCATTTGAGTAATTTAGTCTTTTTATAGTAAAATTGGTCAAGTTTTTTCAAGACTCAAAACAAAAAAAATAACCCATTAGTATTTGAAGATGAAAGCAAAATGTATCGTTTTTTGAAATTATTTTTACCAGGAAAATACAATTTTTGCCAAGTAAAAGGTTTTCTTATTTCAAAATTAGGGCTACAGTGTTTCTCAGCCAAAAAGGTAGCTTTAAAAAAAATAGTCGGCTTTTCTTAGTTTTGAAATTTTTTCTGAATTGATTTTCATCTAATGTTGTATCTTTTTTTTTCAATTTACTTTAGATATTACAACTCATATTAGGGCAAACTTTTATGTTCAGACTGAGTTTCAACTTCTTTTTTCAACACCCGCATTCAGTACAAAGAGAAAATAATAGATTATAATGTATTTTAATTGTCAGTTTCCTCAATTTTCAAAAAGAATGGATTATAGTCAGTTAAAATTGGATTTTATGTACTTTTTTTTGAAACAAAAAACCCATTATAATCGATGATAATCAATTTTTTTTTGAATTTTTTTCTAAAATTTTATTGAATTATAATCCAATTTAATCGATTAGAACCCATTATTTTTCAATAAACGTCATCGCTTTATTTCGTTTTATTTTCACTTTGTTTTGTAACTTTTCAGTTGGTATTTTTTCTTACTGTTTACTGTTAACTGTTTACTTTTTTTACTGTTCACTGTTTACTGATTTCTTACTTCTTACTGATTTTAACTGTGTTTTCA